TGAATATGTATGTATGTGTGTATACAGGGTGTACCAAAGACCAGTTCCATAGGCCAATCATAATAAGTTTTATTAATTTTATTAATATCTTTTCCCAGAGAAAATGTTCTTTCTGTACTTAGGAATGTCCCAAGGTCATGTGTCAAATGAGTAAGGAAGTGTTTAGGAGAAAATGGTAACCAATTTGAACATTTAATTTATATAATAAATTGTCTATGATACACTCTGTGTGTCTGTGTATGTATCTACATCTATATCTACATCTATACAGATAGTCCTTCTTTAGCGACTGCCTTGCTGTTCACAGTTACGACGGTAATGAAAAAGCAACTTTTGCAACCTTTGCAGGTCTGTAAAGCAAAGGAAAGCTGAAATAAGATCATAAGCACAGTTGTGTTTTCATTTAGTGACCACTTAACTTATTGACTGAGTGGCCAGTTCCAATTGTGGTCGCTAAACAAGAACTATATATACCTATACACAAACACATACACACATGGTTTAGTTCCGTATATACTTTGTGATATTTTCAGTTTAGGTGGAAATAGACAATACCTTTAAAGTTGTGTTCCTTTGATGCTCCCCTAAAATTCTATTTTTTGGGTTATGAGCAAGCCATAGTGGTATTAAGGTATCAGCAAGAATTAGATTCTCAAGCAGGAAGTTCAAGAGAGATCTATTCATCTCAGAGGGAAGTTTTCCAGTTACTGTCTCTCATTTCCACCTCTATAATATAAGTGAGCATTTGCAAAAGCAAGATTTGATGGGCCTCCATCAGCAGTATTATGGAACAGATTTAGTAACATCCCATATGTTCTTGTGGGGTAGGATTAATAGAGTTATTATTCTGTTGCATCTTTTAATGAGAGCCCTGCACTAAGAATATTATACCACTTTTGTTGCAATTCCCAGATTGCTCAAAGCAATGTTATATCTCTTTGCCTCCATTAGATAAAAGTGATTATCTCACCTATGTTGTGGCAAAGTGTTACGTATCCACATGTAGACTTTGGAGATAATATCTAAGCAGCTGCTATTGGTTGGTGATTAACACTTGAGTATAATGTTATTCCTGCCCTGTTTGTTATGTGTGCTTTGTAATTAAGGATTTAATAATCTACAAATATGATTTGTTTGGATTCTGACTGTAGTAAAGTTTTATCTGTGCAGAAGGCTTTACAGCTTCTCCTTCTCCTCACAATGCCAGTCCTTTGCTACTAATTTAATTATGCTGAAACTAAATGGCCCTTTCCAACTCTATGATTCTGTAAAGTACTAGCTTTCTATGCAAATGTACTTTTTACCTGGCAAAGCATTAGAAATATAATTTCCCACAAGTAGTTTGAAATGATATTGACATAGCTGAACATCAGTTGATTGAAAAACCATATCAGGACATCAATCAAAAAGAATTATTTTTCCCTATGGAAGTGCTTTTTTCCCATACAAGGATTCTTGTGTCAGGGGAAAATATGATAAATTCATCCCATAGAGATCAAAGAAGCTACGATGGTCCAGAATGTGGCAGCACAAGCAGTGATGGGAAGGCCTTGCAATGCCTATGTAAATCCCTGCTAGATACAGGTAGCCAGTTGACTTCCAGTGCAATTTAAGGTGCTATAAAGCCCTACATGACATAGAACCTAGTCTCCCATAGTGTCTTCCTCTCTTGTGTGCTCCAGAAGAATTGGCTTGGTTCAGTCCCACCAGATGGGAGTAATGTCATCTAGTGGGATCCAGGAGATGAGCCTCCTCTGTTGCTGTATCTGCCCTTTAGAATAGCATCTCTCTAGAGATCAGTAAGGTAACCTTGCCACCTTGAAGTGTTCTTTAAAAATCTGGCTTTTCCCCAGGCTTTATGTTAGGATGGTGGAGTAGTCCTCTTTAAGCTGGAAGAAGGTGTGGAATCATGGTTCTGTTCCTTGTATGGCTGTTATCCTACATCACGTTCTTTTAATTTGTGAAGGTGCCCAGAGTCATTTTGGGGTTGAGCAGCTTGGAATTGTAATAAATGAAATGGTGCCATCAGAACCATTGTGGCCATCATTCTATTCCCATCAGTGTTCTTATCCTCTGCTCATGTCACTCATTTTTCCATTTTTTTTTACTAATTTAGTCTCTGCTAAGGAATTCCAAAATAGCTTTAGAGGTAAGTTTACACCAGAGTACCGTTAGTGGTACAACACTAAGAATAGATCTGTCTCCAAGACCAAAAGCTACAATGCATTAATACCCCTTTTTCCCCTTTGTTACAGATTCTTGATTTAACAGCTGCCAGATTCTTACACAACAGCAGTTCAATACTTACGACACAGCGAATGCACATTAAGCCGAAGTGTCATAGTAGGCAATATGAATTCAATGGTATTTGCTGTGACTTTTGTGAGCCTGGTAAGTATTATCATAAAGAAATAGAAAAAAGTTTGACATCAGTGTGGACAGCTGAAAAGAATCTGGATGTTGTGATTGTTTTGCTATTAAGGATTGCCCTTTTTAGAATTGCTTAGAGGCACTTCTGAGAATGCATGAAATGGGTTGGAAGGCAGGGGTCACCAGGAGCAGTAAGTCCCCACTGCAAAGATGAGCAGGCCAGTCTCTGCTTTCCTGATCCATCCATGCATCATTGTCTAGCTGGAGCAGAACCGTGATGAAACTATATTCCAATGACATGCATGTCCTGAATTTATTTCATTGGGCTATAAAAGTCTCCTTAACATATTTCTCACAAAGTGGGGGAGCAAAAATGGAAAAAGCACAGGGCTACACATGCTGGCCTGCTCGCATGCATCCTCTGTGTGCTCCTGCCTGGCCCTCTCAACTTCAGATCTTGCCAGGTTGAGTCTCAGCAGTTGAAATGCATTTCTCCTCAATGGAATGCAGGTTAAAGTCTCCTCCGTGTCCCACCATTATAAGGAATCTTCTGTTGAATGGGTTAGACATTCCTTTTGCTGTTGTTTTTCTTGCTAGCAGATGGAGACTTCACCCATCACATTCCTCAAGTTGAGCCCTATTAAATCTGCAAGGGCAGCACCCATTGCTGACTTTGTCACTGAGGCAGGATGGTAGCGAGGACAGCACCAAGTATGTGACAATGTTTTTGTGCTGCCCCGTGGCCTGGAATTAACATAGCTGTGAGGAAGAGCACTATTCAACCCTTCTATAGTTTCAGGCAGCTCACAAAAAAGCTTTTAAAATAATATTATTATTATTATTATTATTATTAATAATAATAATAATAATAATATAATACCATATGTTAGTTTAATGACAAAAACTTGGGAATTCAATTTCAGCTGTTTCCAAATTTCTCGTGAAGAACCAGGAGGGCATTTAATGGAGTCCAGATGGCCTGAAGGCTGAAGAGTATCACCCAGCTGTACTTTGCACAATGAAAACTCTGCCATACGGTTTTGATTATGTTAACTAGCAGACTGCCCTTCTTTATCAAAAGAGCTATTTACTGCCACTCTCTCCTCTCATTCTTTCTGTTTATAGCAGTGAAAGAGATCCATCCCCCACCAGCATTATCTGTGACTATTAAGGAGTTTCAGCAGGGCATCATAACGTTTGTCCATTCCAGGGAACTGGAGCAGCCCCATATCCTTCTTTCTGATGTGCTTTGAAGAAGGTCAAGAAGGGGGCTTTCTTGGGCTCGTAGTCTCACTTGAGGCTTGCAAAGCTCCATCCCCCACCTGGTTTTACTTTATTTAAATGCATGTACTTAAAATAATAACTGGGAAGCAAGCATTCTGCCAAACAATGCATTAGTTTGGGGCATCATTTGTTATTTCCCAGAATGCCTCTAGGTCTCAGATAAACCCCAGTATAGAAGAGACATGTTTAGAAAAGGAAAGATATGGGTGTTTTTCTGAACAGCACAGTGCTTCAGGTAAAAGTGTGACCACTGCAAGATCAAGGCCTCTTCACTGATCACTGATCACTTCACTGATCATAATCTATCACCTTGGTCTAGTACAAGTTGGTAGACTGCTGTTTTTCAACTTCTGTCAGCCCTTTGAGGTAGTCCAGACAAGAAACCAAAAACATGAGGACTAACTTTACCTTTATTGTAAGGTTACAGTAATAGAATCTTGCAAGTCTGAAAGTATTTCCCCCTTCTCTTGCCTTTACTTTCCAGGGAACTAGGAAGGGTCCCTTCTGAGATGCTTGCCATGCCCCCATTGCTTCTGTGGGCTAAGCTGCCTCTTATCTAACCATTGCCCTGGCTACAGCTCTTCCTCCTCCTGCCTCTCAAGGATATTCCCACAGACCATTATAACTTCCCAGTCTAAGGCTGAGAGAGGGTGACTGGCCCAGATGGCTTCTGTGCCTAAGGGAAGACTAGAACCTAGGAAGACACCTAGCCCAGCATCTTAACCGCTATACCATGCTCATTCAGACTGAATCCCTGTCTCCCCCCCAACTCCCTGGGTTGTAAAAGGGAGGGCAGGGAAAACACTGGCAGACTTGCAAGATTCTGTTACTATAACCTATCTCAATAAAGTATAATTCTAGTCAGCTTCCTCACATGGCCTGCCTCATTGGGCTGACACATATACTGTATATATAAGCTGATAGGGTAGAAAAACTCCTGATAGGCTAGTGGATGGGGACAGTTGTACCAATAATGGTGCCATTTGTGATTACCTGTGGGTTTCACAGCAGTCATTCTGTGAGAACACTTGCTGGAGGCTTTCAATATTTCAAATGTCCCCCCATCCAAATTTGCCAAGCTCTATTTGGAAGGATTTTACTGACCTCTGTCTGAAACATTTTCTTTTTACAGGTTTTGTTGCCAAATCTCTAGGTTGCACAGAGAATCATAAAACCAACTGCATACGTTGCACAGAGGGTAAAGAATATATGGATGAATATAACTATAAAACAGCTTGTCTACGATGTAATCTCTGTGATACAGAACACGGTATGTACAATTGACAGTATTTAATTTCAACATTAGTGTATTTCACTCAGGAGAAAGGATGTTAAGTGCATTTGATTACAGAAAGCCTAAGACATGAATTTAGTCCACAGCTGCAATGTGGCTATCACAAGCTGCAGATTATCTGTGAACACCAGCTGGGTCCCTGTGCAGCAAAACAGATGACTCTGAATACAACTTAAAGAGACGTTTGGGTTCTGATTTATGTCAACTGGAAGTAAAATACATACTCAGGTCCCTGGGGTTTCATGCAGATTTGAGCATTTTTAAAATTTTACAATCCTTGAATTGGAGGGAAACCTGAAAACCACTTTGTTCAAGCCTTGGTTTGATGGAGGAAGTGCAGAGTTAGAGGATCTTCACTAGATGTCAGTCCACCCACCAGCAAGGCTTCAAATAAAGATTGGTTTTACAGATGAAGTGATTCTGATTTAAATGTTTCTCTGAAGGTTCAGTCAAAATCTATCACTAAAATGTGCATATTAGATGGGCAGTGACAGTGCAAAGAAGAATTCTTTGCCTTTTGTTTGAAAACCCCTCATGTATTTGAAGAACAGCATTATTTTCCTTGAGCAGGTGCCTAGTCTTCAAAACCTGGTGGTGGGTATTAAAAATGAGGTTTTTAAAATTATTTGAATAACAAAATGTTTCAATTTATTTTAGGAATGGAAATTGAAAAAAACTGTACCAGCAACCAGAATGTAACATGTAGGTGTAAGCCTGATTTCTTTTGCAATTCAACTAAACCTTGCCGCCACTGTGATAAATGTGATAAGTAAGTTTTCTGTACAACTGTTAAGAATAACAAAACTAGATGCTGATAGATTTCAGTCCAGATGTGACAATTAATCTCTCCAGAAATTCAACCTTCCTTTCAGTAATTAGCTAAAGGTTCACATATGCAGAACATATTATAAGCTGCTTTATTGTTAACAAGAAGACATAGAGAGATTTCTTACTACAGAACCCAGAAATCAAGCTGATACATACACATACACATAACACACATGCATACTCCATAATTGTTTGCCTCCCCCAGGGTTTAAATTCTAAGCCATTTCTTTTCCCTTTTTCATATCAGTGGAAATCTGGCTATTCTCTATCAGGCCTTGATATTGGGGAACACCTGTTCAGTCAAGTGAGGATAGTAGGGAATCTATTCAATCAGGGAGAAACAGACAGGAATCTAGGAGGAGATAAATATACATACAACTCCAGCCAATGAAGAGATGGAAATCCTCTCCAATCCCAGTATTTCTCAGGTTTGAGGAGGGAGGGCTATAAAACCCTAAAAGTGGGGGGGGGGGAGGAGATACCTTGGTGGCACCAACTAACGAGGTTGAAATGGGGAGGGTGACCTCTAGACATCCTCCAGCTGTCTACAACCTTTAGAGGGGTAAAAGAAAGAGGAAACTGGAAAGGAAAGTTGTGTTAGGACTGAAGCAGATGAGATAGGGACTACAGATGGTCCTCGTTTAACGTCCACTCACTCAGCAACATTCAAACTTAGGAGAGCGCTGAACAAGTGATAGTTACAATTGGACCTCATACTTACAGCACTTGCAGCATCCCCACAGTCATGTGATCATGATTTGCATCCTTCCCTGCTTGCTTCCCAGAAGCAAAGTCAGTGGGGAAGCCAGCAGGAAGTCAAAGGTCACGGTCACACGAGGTCCTCACTTAACAACCTGTGTGGTCCTCGTTTAATGAGGCAACTGTGGCTGCCAGAACTGCCACTGCTAAGCAGCACAGTCACATGGTTTTTTAACTTACATCCGAGTTGCTTAGTGACAGAGTTTCTGGTCCCAATTAGCTTAGTTAAATGAGGACTACCTGTAGCGATTTTCAGGCTCAAGAGAATGTATTTGCATGGCCTTGAAGATAAAGGCCTATTATCTTTTGACTTAAGATAAGTAGAAGGAAAAACCCAGACTTTGCATGCTGAAGCCCTGATCTATATTGCCTTGTTGGCTGTGTACTGGATACAGAGTTTTTGTGTGAATAATGGCATCATCTGGTTTGCAGTAAAGGAACTAATCTAGCCGTTATCAGAAAAACTTCTGCCAAGAAATCAGATCCTGAACAATATTAAGGGCCTGGAGTGTTAAGATTTACTGGCAGGTCAGGCATGAAAACTGAGCCATAGTTTTCAAAAACAACACAGGTTGTTAAGTGAGGACCTCGTGTGACCGTGACCTTTGACTTCTTGCTGGCTTCCCCACTGACTTTGCTTCTGGGAAGCAAGCAGGGAAGGACGCAAATCATGATCACATGACTGTGGGAACGCTGCAAGTGCTGTAAGTATGAGGTCCAATCATAACTATCACTTGTTCAGCGGTCTCCTAAGTTTGAATGTTGCTGAGTGAGTGGATGTTAAACGAGGACCATCTGTAGTTCCTATCTCATCTGCTTCAGTCCTAACACAACTTTCCCACATACAAGTGTAACTCTATAATTATTCTGGTCTCAAATACACGGATTATCCATGTGAGAAGATTGTAAGATGCATAGATGACCCTAGGTATTTTTCTGCTTAAGATGAAGGACAAGATTATGGCTCTTCAGCTTCTATAGACATTGCTATCCAAGATGGATAACCAAGTTTTCCTTCAGCATCCACCATTATATTAAAGCAGCTTAGGTGGTACAAGACAGATCATCTAATTTCCATCCTGTCATACCTGTACCATATAAGGCTACTGCCTTACTCTCTCTAAATCTTAAATCTTACTCTCCAGAAAGAATGGTAGGTTTTATAATATACCGGGAGAGGCCTCTTTCAATCTGTCTTTACCTCTGAGAGAGAAGATGCACAATCACTTCCACCCACCAGGTGGCGCATTACGGTTGAGAATACCAATATCACTTGTCTCATATGTTACTGTATTTCGGGCCAATCTGTGATTTTTTGGGTTTGTTTTTTTTTTAAAGGTCACAGCTACAGCTGTGCAAATATTTTTTGTGGAGATTAAAGTAAAAGACAGCTTGATTAAAATGAATCAGCTAACTGAACTGGCACATTTATTCAAATTGCTGAATCAAAGGAGATACCTCTGATTGTATTCAGACCCCTCTGCACAGACATAAAGACAGATTTTTCCAAATTGAATCAGCAGTCTAAATCGAATCAATCCAACAGAATGGTTCAGTTTGAATTTTTGAATCAAATTGCAATGGTATTTTCTGATTCATCTAGTCATCAAGGACTAAGCTGAACTACCTCATTGTAAAATCTGATAAGATTTTTTTTCTGCTTCCTACTGGCATAATCTGATTTTTCTTCATCGTGTGAAACCTGGAGTGCTTCAGTTCTGGGTAATTCCGGATACGTGACCTTATCTTACGCCTGACATACGGGTTGATGTTTGGTTATCCAGCAGAACGTGCCTTTTCTCTGAGCATTGCAACATCACTGCTGTCATTTTAAATCTAACTTTTTTTTTTTTTTATGGCAAGGGCTCTGCTACAACTTTCAGGGTTTAAATGCTATTCATTTATTTATTTACTGGATTTACACACTGCCAAATCTCCTGACTCATATCAGCAACTGGCAGGGTAAGCGAAATCCTAAAACTGATGCTGGTTGCCACAGAACTTCTTTTTTACGGCTGAGAAGGCAGCGAAGAGCAGAATGTGCGGTCTCCTTTTTTTTCTCCTGAAGTTCCTCTCCACACATTGATGGACATTGCGGGAACCTGCCTTGACAGTAAACATTTCATTGCACCTCTCACCAGTTTCATCCCTGAAGGGACTACAGAATATACCAAAACTCAGGAAGGATGAACAGCTTTCTCTGACTGAACCTCCTCATTATTATCCACTGCTTTATTTGTAGGTGTGAAAATGGCATCATTGTAGAAAAGTGCACCCAAAAGCAAAACACAGTATGCGGAAATAAAGGTAACTATCAATGTATTTGATTAAAGCTCCAGAAAGGAAGGGATGTCTGCAGGGGTGTCAAGAAATTCAAGATGGGGGCCACAACTATGTGATCAAAGCCCCACCCCTTTTTCTGATGCATGTAAAAAAGGGGTGGGGCTTTGATCACATGGTTGTGGCCCCCATCTTGAGTTTTTTGACACACACCCTGTTGAAACCCATGGGAAGAACTGAATTTGGATATGTATAAGGCCAGGTTCCAGCCCCTAGCAGCTCTAAGAGCCAATCTGTCCAAACTCTCTCTCTGCTATTACTACCCCTAGCTCCATCTACCATTTAGGTATTCCTTTCAATAGCAAGCAAAAGAGACTTGAAAAGCAGTGGAGCCCAAAATCAGTCTCTCTCTAAAATTCAATAATATGGTTGGATCTAAGCTTGTGCTAGATGGACTTCTGCCAGCTCTGAAAGAAGGGCTACCTTCCAACACTGTTTCCATTCAAAACCCTTGGAATGGCCTCAGAAGTGGTGAGGAGAAGGGAGAATTAAGGAATGCTGCTGTCTGCCTCTTCTCTTCCAATGGATGCCTGGGTCCTCTGTCAATCTTCCCCAGAAGGCATCAAAGCCACCCTTGAATGTCAGCAAGCATTATGAACGAATAACAATTTGCACAAAGAAATATGTATTGAGTTTCATCCCACCATCTCACCTGCTTTCTTCCTGCCTCTTTCATTCTTCTTCTGCCCATGGAGAATTTCAGAAATCTGCTTCCTCATTAATTTGCTCAACAGGGTGAACTGAATGGAAGGAAACAAAATGAATATTAGGCCTAGGACTCATTTTTGAAACAATTTAAAATCTATCTTGAGTCAAATTACTCTTTTCATGTGTTTCTCACATCAAAGTGGTGAAAACCCACACCAGTAACGTTCATCAGTTGTACCCCTGGATTTTGCAACTACTTGGCCAATCTTCTGAAGAGTCACTATCAAACTTGATCTTCTGAAAAGTTTGAGCATTTCTGTAGAATTTGAATAACTCTATAGAGCTCTTGGAGGTGTCCATGAAGTCACCAGCAACTGAGCTCCACTCAAGAGAGACTTTACTTATGGAGTGTATTGCATGCTATTACTATGTCTGTTCAGGACATAATTGGAAATCAACATGAGATTAGTAAAAAAATTAAGTTTCCATGGATTGACACAGTAACTTGAATGGGTAATCAATTGTATTCTGTTTCATTCAAAGGAATGTTTACAGTTCTAATGAGCATGGCTTCTGTTTGCATTTTTAACAGTTCATTTGTTGCTTAATCGTCATGTCTGTGAAATGCTTTTTTAACAGAACAGAATCAGAAATCTGCAAATTGACTCATGTGGATTTGGAAAATATGATTTTATTAAATATTCTTCTTCACAGAGAATTTACAACGTGGTTGGATAGTTCTCTCTGCTGTTATCACAGTAATTGTGGGACTGATTTTATGGATTTTATGTAAGTAGATATAACTTTCTTTTAAAAACCACAGTATACTCTCAGCTTTATTATTGTTTTTAGAGAAGTCAGCAAGTATGCAGAGGGACAGCTCTTCCAAAGCTTTCGATCTACATTTAAAATGCAATTGTCTCCTCTTCCAACAATTTTGGAAGTCAAGGTTCTTCTTTGAGATAGAGAGGAATTCTCATCTTGGACAGCAAATTGAAAGGGATCCAATAGTATCTCCCATCACTTTGTTCTAGCTTTTGGCATCACCTAATTTAAAATTATGGCCCCTTATGGAGTGCATCCAAAATGGGAAGATCTATCTTGGCAGCACTTCAACCATCAATATTTGCTTTGAGGCAAAATTTGGATCGTATGCTCTTGTTGTTCCTGACCTAACCAGCTCTTACATTCTTACACCTTTATTGTCCTAAAACACATCAACCAGATTTTTGTAGCTTGCACACTAAATAGGATATGGAGCTGGGCACAACTAATATCCTTAAACAATGGGAGGCAACCACGAGGTCCTTGTCAGGCACTGGCAACTTGCAGCCCCAGTGCCAAATATGCCATCTCACTTCAATGTTTGGATCCCCCTCCCAACATCCATTTCCAATAACCTGCCTTTTGAAGGCAGCAGACTGTAGTAAACTAAAGTAAGTTTGAGAACTCAGCTCATCACAAATTCCAAAAAAACAAGCAAACTGTTACAACCTACTGATATACATGATGCACTCTGCTTCTTCTCAATAACCCCTCTTTTTGTAGGTCTCAGCTTTTCTTTTCTTTT